ATGTCTAATAGGTGTTATAAATTACTGTAAACCTTAATACTAAGTAATAAGAATGTTTTTTGTCAACAATGAAAATTTTTTATTATGAAGGTATCCACAACTGTTTTAATTATAATTTTGTATGGTGTCATCCTTCCTTCTTCAATGAACCATTGTATAAGACGAACGTATTTTTACTGCAATATACAAATGTTCCTAGCTGGCGGAACACAATATGAGCTCATGTGCTTATGGAGCAGTTTCAACAGCGGGTTCTTCTCCCCACAAAGACCATGGAAGTCGTCCAAATCAATGGCCCATGTCATGGCGCCCAGGTAGCCCTTTTCCTTAATCCAGTTCATCTTGATTTCCACACTGCGAGGGTCCTCGTACCCAACCCATTCGGTGTCTTCTTTGTAAGCGTACGGGCATTTGCCGTACTTGTCCCATTTCTTGATACAACCGAACTCCGGATTGTCCACCTTCATGCAGATCTGTCGAAACATAATAATGCAGACATTTCCATATGTAAAGCTGCGTTTCTACTTAAGCTCATAACAGATCTGAACGGGCAAACATATCCTCTCTCGGTAAATGAAAATATCAGAGATTCGTACAATGATGTTTGACCGATCTTAGGAAACGAATGTTAATATGACTGAGTAAGAGAGTTACTCAGTCATAATTGGAAACAAGGTAACATTATTCTGAGCATTCCATTTACCGAGCGAACAAATGTTTGCTCACTCGGAAATTATGAACATTAGGTGGAAACGCAACTTAAGATTTTCAGGATTCAATTAATTCGTTAATTATCATTTATATCCATGACTAGCTGCTTTAAAATACATAACAAAGGAGATGGTTCAGTTACGGAAAAGTGGTAGTCGGTTTCCGGCAGCGACGAAACATATATATAATATAAAAGATTGTTTTATATTATAAATGATATCGTGGTGAACTTATTATACAAATTTATGATTGATTCTTCTTGAAATAAAATACCTATAAGATACCTAATTATCGGTTCAGTGGTTAAAGCATGTTGAGGAAACAGACAGAGATACTTAAAAAATTCTTACAGGACAGATTATTTTTCTTACCTCGTAATAAGCCATGAATCCAGTCTCATTGGTATAAGGACCGGGGTTACCGCCACCGGCCGTCTTGTTGATGGGAGTCCCGAGTTCGTAGTTATGGTTACCGGCACACAGGGTGAAAGTGCGCCCGTAGAAAGGTATGCCGACGACTAGCTTGTTGGTAGGGCAGCCTTTGTCTTCCCATAACTTGAGACCGTCGTTCTGAAACAAGATAATTGATTGCAATATTCTAAGTTTCCCCTGACATTGGTCACTTCGCTTACGCACACAATACGCACTCCTAGATCTGTACCCTTAGCACGAACCAATATCGAATTGGAATAGTTTGCAAACGGAAATGTCAATGCCAAATTTTGTATGGAAACTTGAACAGCAGCGGCACAAAGTACGTAACGAGAACTAAAAATCAGTATACATTTGACAATGACATTTCGGACTCGCAAACGATACGAATTCGATATTGGTTCGTGCTTGGGGTACCGTGCCCCTAATTATAACAAAATTACAATTGAACTTTAATCCGGTATTCGGCCACAGACGTTACGTTGTTCTCACCATTAAATGTACCTAATCAGGTCATAAATTCTGTCACATGTTTAATATAAAATAATTGAAACAAGTTTATTCATTATGTAACCATTTATATACCAAAATGAACTTTACAAAACATAGATTCTTATGACAATAAAATTTATTCAAAATGACCTCCGTGATTGTGAATACAGGCCTGCAATCTGCGCGGCCAGTCGTCTATCGCAGCACGAACGAGGTCCATGGTCCATGCCAATATCGGCGGCTGCCCTAATCAAGGATGTCTTGAGTGACTCCAAATTGCGATGAGGCTTTGAGCACGCCTTTTCCTCCAAGTGTTGCCATATCTTGTAATCTAACGGACTCAAATCTGGACTGGAGGAGGGTCAGTCTTCGTGCCTGATGAAGTCGATTTCACGCGCCGAAAGCCAGTCTAGTGTGCTCTTCGCTCTATGAGCTGGCGCCGAATCTTGTTGGAATCCCCAGTGCCTGTTATTGAACATGGTATGAGAAACAGCTTCCACAAGGTTCGTCAGGACTGTATTTTGATACACAACTGCATTCGTTTTTACACCTTTCTCACAAAAATGTACCTCTGCTAAGCCCCAATAAGAAACTCCCAACCATACCATGAGCGAGGATGGAAAATGGCCTCGTTGGACACGCGGAATACGGTTGCTCGCTTCTTTACTACTGTGTGCGTACACCTTATCATTTTGTTTGTTGTAGCTCTCTTCTACGGTAAAATTTTTTTCATCCGAAAAAAAAAAATCCGATATTTTTTTCCCCCGTACCGCTTCAACGCGCGGCATCTCTTCAGTCTCAGGTCCATTAGACGAGCATTCAAACGATGTCCTGTTTTTCTTCGATATGCCTGAAGCCCTGAGTTATCATTTAACACCCTTTTCACCTTGGTTCTGCTTAACCCCATCTGAAGGGCCAACAGTTTCGGCTTACGTTTGGGATTTCTTTGAATTCACAGCTTTTATCACTGCTGGAGTCCTAACAGACCGAGGGCGACCACTTCTTGACCTGTCATCTACACTAGAGTCTTCATTGTATCGTTTGATGGTACGATATATGAATCTTTTGTGTGGTATTAAATAAAGAGTCAAATTAAATAACCAAACAAGAGGGTTTTATTTCTAGAAGTCCTAATATTAATACCTGTCACAATCATAGAGTATCCTAGCAAAATGTCTAATGGAAACATTCACAATAGTCATAACTTTAATAGGATGCATTCATGCCACATCTCCCTTTTATAATAATTTAAATACCATATGAATGATTAGGTAATTCAGAGCTCAGTATTATTAATCAAAGACATAATTGTTGAGATAAGGAGGAGGACGGGTTTCCCTATTAGACCGTCTAATTAAGGGTTGAGATTGAGAGTTACACTGTTGAAGGTTTTGATCGCTGTCATTAATATTGATCTGACAGGAACTACTCCAATAATTCTGAACACAATCATTATTACTTGGATAGCTAGAATCTACTTCTTTTTCCATGCTTGTTTTAATAAATTTAGTATTTCTAGTTTTTAGGACTCCATTATTATCAATTATTTGTACAGAACGAGGGTTGTTCAAAACCTTTACAATTTTGGCAGATTTCCAGATTTTAGACCTTTCATCCTCCTTATAATAGACTTTTTGACCTGCAACAAATTTATCACTTCTAGTTTTAGAGTTAACATCATAATAGTACTTATGTCTATATGCATTATTTAACAATTGTGGTTTGAAATTAGGAACCAATTCTGACTTGAGTAAATCTTTTTGTATTGGTAGTCTTGTGCGGCAAAGTCTATTAAAAAGTAACTGTGACGGAGAAAATTTTGTTCCACAAACTGGAGTATTCCTATATTCCAATATGAAGTTTGACAAGTCAGAATTAGTTTCATTACATTTCTTAATTAAGTTTTTACATATTCCAACAGCTTTCTCTGCAGCCCCATTGCTTTGGTGATAATGAGGACTGGAGAATATTGGTTTGAAATGCCATTGTCTGCTAAATTCTAGAAAAGTTGATGAGTTAAAGGGCATATTATCACAATATAAGATCTTAAGAATTCCATGTGTTGAAAATATGATCTTTAAAATCTTTATTGTTGAATCTGCAGTTTTGCTGTTTAACTTATGGAGCTCCAACCATTTCGAATAATGGTCTACTAGAACTAAATAGTCATGATTTCCATATTGCATAATGTCAACAGAAACTTGTTGAAATGGCAGTTCAGGTTGGTCCCTAATCCACATAGGTTCTTTAATATTGTTATTAGAAAATTTCTTACATACCATGCAACTTTCTATATAATTACTAATGTCAACATCCATCCCAACCCAATAAAACAATAATTTAGCTCTAGCTCTAGTCTTGGTGATCCCAAAATGACATTCATGAACTTTTTTTAGTATAATTTGTCTTATAGATCTAGGTACATAGAGCCTGTTATCAATATATAATATATTATTTTCAATATACATGACATTCTTAAAGTTATAATAATGTTTAACTAGATCTGGTACTTTTGTGATGGATGTTGGCCACCCATTTTTTACATATTCAAGAAGTTTAGTAAATACATCACCTTTAAAGTTATCTATTCTAATTTGGGAGAGTATGCTGTCAGACACATTAATTGAATGTATTACATTATTTAAGTCTGGCTCAACATCTATACTAGCTCCAGAAGAAGCACGGCTTAACGCATCAGCAATGTACATATTTTTTCCAGATACATGAACTAAATTTAAGTCATACATACTGAGTTTCAGTTTAATTCTTTGTAATCTTGTTGAGGGAATGTTAGCTATATCTTTTTTCATGATAGATATTAAAGGAAGGTGATCAGTCTGTACTGTAATAGTCTTACCATACACAAAAGTGTGAAATTTTTTACATGCAAACAATATTGCCAAGAATTCCTTCTCGATTTGTCCATAGTTAATTTCAGCTGAAGAGAGTGATTTAGAAGCATAATATACTGGCTTATTTTCCTGTAACAATACACATCCAATGCCTGTTGTACTAGCATCTGTCTGAATAATTATGTTTTTATTTGGATCAAACATGTGTAGTACAGGATGAGTAGTCAGAATTAATTTAATTGTATTAAAACATTCTGTATGGGCCTTTTGCCAATCAAAGTGAATATCTTTTTTTATTTATTCACGTAGGGGAGCAGTTAATTCAGATAAGTTTGGAATAAAAGATCTCAGATAATTCACTAAGCCCAAAAGTCTTTGAATATCTTGTTTATTTTTAGGTGTATCATAATCTAAAATTGCCTTAATACTATCTGGGTCAGGGCTTACAGTTCCATTTTCAAAAATGTGACCTAAATATTTCACTTTCCGAAGCATGTACTGAAACTTAGTTTCATTAAAATTTTCTAGCTTGTGAAAAAACTTTATCTAAAATCAAATTCATTTCCTCCTCAGTACTTGCAAAGATAAGTGTATCGTCTATGTAATTTATAACCCCTTCAATATCGGAAAAAAATTCAGATAAATATTTTTGAAATACTTCAGATGCTACGGCTATACGAAAAGGTAATCTATTAAATTTGTATGTGCCAAATATACTAGAAAATGTGCAATATTTAGAACTGTTTTCTGTTAGTACTATGTGAAAAAATGAATCTTTTAGGTTTAATACCGAAAAATATTTAGCTTTCTGAATTTTAACTGACAATTCCGAAACAGTTGGGATTGAACGATAATCCTTTACTATACATTTATTTAAATCTTTAGGGTCTAAGCATAAATGAATAGTACCATTTGGTTTTTCAACTATTACTAGCCTATTTACCCAATCTGAGGGTTCATCAACTTTTGAAATTATACCCAAGTTTGTTAATCTATCTAGTTCAGCTTTTAACTGAGGCCTAATTTTTAATGGCACTCTATATGGGGTTTTCGAAGATGGAACAGAGTTCTTTTTTAATTTTAAATCATATGGTTTTTCAATCTTACCAATGCCAGTGAATAAATCCTTGTTATTTTTTATCAACATTTCTTTTTCAAAGTCATATGTCTTTTCACATGATTCCACTCTTTTTACTAAATTTAATTTGACACAAGTGTCCCGGGATAAAATGGGCACTGACAAGTCTCCACCGACAATACAAAAAAGTTCTTAAAATTTTCCTTCATTTAAATTTGTGGTTAGTCTAATAGTACCTTCAATAGGTGTTTTATACCCATTCCAGCTCTCTAGCACAGCTGAACTTTTGTTTAACTGCAAAGGAAAAGACGAGCTTGCTGCTATTTGCTTAAAGAGTTTGATTGGAATAATATTAACATCTGATCCTGGATCAAGTTTAAAATTGATTTTTTCATTTCCTATAATGAGGTCTTGATACCATCCTACTGAATGAGTCTTCAGAGTTCTAGACAGAATTGCACCACAAAAATAATCTGGTTCAGGATCTACTTTTAGTTCATTTACAGTTTTCTTTAAGTTGCTTCGACACATTTTTGCGAAATGATTTTTACCTTGACATTTTGCACACGTCTTGTTAAAGGCTGGGCACTGACCATATTTATGCTCATATCCACATCTGAGACAAGATTGCTTTTGTCTTTTATTCTGTGTTTCTTTAAAGTTTGTAGAAACAGTGTTTACTTCAGACTTTCTGATGTCACGAATGTGATCTTCACTCAATCCTGTTATTATTAGCATTCTAACAACATCGTCCAAGTTAGGGTCGCCTTTTTTTATAAGTTGATTTTGCGAATCTGTGTCAGTTGTACCGAAAACTAGCCTGTCTCGAATAATTTTTTCTTTACAATTAGTACAAAATTCACAATCATTTGCTAACATTTTTGTCAGTAAGAAAATGTTCAAATTGTTCAGCTTCTTGCTGTTTTCTGTTATAGAATTTAAATCGACAGTGTAGAACATTTTTCTTCGGATTACAATAATCTTCAAACTTGTCAAGAACATGTTTTAAGGTTAACGTTTTATCCTCGAATTCAAAAGTATTATAAACGGCTAGAGCCTCTTCACCGATTATGTTGAGTAAAATGGCAATTTTTCTTGATTCGCCGACATTTTGTAAACCACTTGCCTCGAGATAAATTTCCAATGCTTGTGAAAATTTCCGCCAATTTACACTTAAATTCCCCGACAGGGATAGTCCTGCTGGCAAATTGTACGAACTAGCCATAATTTACCGACTGCGCCATGTGGTATTAAATAAAGAGTCAAATTAAATAACCAAACAAGAGGGTTTTATTTGTAGAAGTCCTAATATTAATACCTGTCACAATCATAGAGTATCCTAGCAAAATGTCTAATGGAAACATTCACAATAGTCATAACTTTAATAGGATGCATTCATGCCACAGTTATATTCATATTTTTCAGTATATCAAAAATTTGAACTGCAACACGGTCTTCTTTAAGTGTCCACTCCATATTTAAAAATGAGTAAAATTCTAAAAAGTGTACATTTTTATTTTCATGAACAATTCGAAATTCGAATTCAAGAAAAGAAAAGTTTTTACTGTGTGACAATACTTAAGACCTGACTGTGTATTATAACTAAGATGTTATGGTACAAATGAACTCACAACATTCAGTTTCTTGTAGGCCCCTTTGTCATGAGGGCGTCTGTATAAGGGAGAGTGTACATCGGCGAAACCATCGCTGTTGCCACGCAAATCGTACGACATCACGTGGACCGCATCCAGTTCCCTGAGGGCGGAAAGTTTGAATTAGAAAGAATTGTAGTTGAGCCAAAAAATATAATGGATTTAAGAAAAAAACATATGAAGCTGTTTATACGGCTATATAAACCGGCAAAATTAATGGCAAAATTAACCGGAACGTGGTATCCCTCGTTCAGTCTGGAGCTCGAAAGTGGCACGGCAGCAGTCAACTCCCAGCCTTTCCCGGCTCTGATGAAGGCCCTCCTCAGCTCTCGCACCAGGCACAGGAAGTTGTCTTTGTCGGAGGAGGAGCCACCGCGGTCGATGGCACCAGGGTACTCCCAGTCCAGGTCGAGCCCGTCGAAATCGTATTTCTTCAGGAAATCTGTTGAAAATTTATAAAGTACGTGTACCAAACATTTCTGTCCTCCTCCTTTGACGCTGCACTCCAATAATTTGTCGCAGCCAACTGAGAAGAGACGGCTCAAACCACACTTCACTACCTCAATTGGAAACAGTGTTGCATTGAAAATCAGACTTTAAATGTTTGGTCACATAGTCTAGCTTTTTTGAAGCCACGATAGGTGAAAGCCCTTATATTCGACCGCGGCGGCGTCATTTTCTCAAAATACTTTTACTTAAATTAGATCAGAATGAAGTGGACCTTTAGAAAACAACGAAGCGAATTATTATAAGCAGGGCCTTTATTAAAACTTGAGGGTACCTAGTTCTGTGTTCTGTGTTAGTATTATGTGAGGAGCTCGATGGCGCAGGTGGTTAGCGCGTTCGGCCTGCGATCGTGGAAGTTAAGCAACTTGCGCAATGGTCGGTCATTGGATGGGAGAGCAAATACCTACTTATTATCTTGAGCTCCTCCGTGCTTCGAAAGGCACGTTAAGGCGAGGGTCCCAGCTGCATCTGCAGTCGTTAGCACTCACCCATGCGCACTGGGCCCGCGTAGTGGGTCACAGCCAAATCGCAGTGGGGACATTATCGGCTGATGATGATGTTACATTGAGAATATACCATCATTACCATCATATAGAAATCAAATCGACTGTTTATAAAACACACTTGTTTCTTTTTAAATACACACCAATTATCCCAGTCCCAGTCCAGTAACGGATAGAATGCATATACTGTACATATATAAGTACTTTTACATAGAAAATACATATTAAACATCCATGACTGGAGTACAAATGCTCGTATTCATCACACAAATATCTGCCCCCACCGGGATTCGAACCCGGGACCTCTTGAGTCAGTGACACCATGAAACCCGGCGTATAAACTACTCGGCCACGGAGGTCGTACAGTCAAACAGTATGTAATTAATCTTGACATTATTTATAGTTGGATATTATGGATATTTTGAATTTTGGGCATGTAGATTTATGAAACTCAACGATATTTTAACATTACCTTCGAATAACACTGAGTGAGTGACGTGGAAAATATAATAGACACCGAAAACAGCTAAAGGTCAAAAGTAATTTCCACATATAAAAAAGGACAATTGACTAATGCGCATAAATCGGTTGACAAACGGCCATTCGTTATTTTTAATTGGACAGTCCATTCGGAGGCATTGTCTAAATTAGTCGCAAATTTTGACCGGACCAGCGTTATTTTAAAATTCCTTACGCATAATATTACGATTCCTGTTCGTGTAACAGTCAAAGATGGAATCACAGGCCAGCGAATACTTAAAAAAATACAGATATGACATACAATATACAAGATAGAATAAACCTACATTTTTTTTGTAACTTTCCCGATTTGGAATTGAAAACATTTGAATTTTGTTATTTAATCCGTTTTAAAGATTTCCTTGTAAGTGCTTCACGTTAAATTAAGTTAGGTTCGGTAACACTTTTAATTTAATTTATTGTTGTTACAGCTATCATGATACTATTTTGTAATTCCGGTCGGAACAGCGGAAATTATAACTTTGACCTCTTCGTCAACAATATAATTATATGGCACTGTACTACGGGTCGCTACCCTTAATTAAAGAAGAGAAAGTACAAGTTATTTGGAGAATTCTGCTAAACCGAAAGTAATTAGTAATTACTCTTCAGGAACTCATAAGGAACGAACTTTGTTTTAAACGTTTATTTATTTATTTATTTATACTTTATTGCACAAAAGTATGTACAAGTGGCGGACTTAATGCCATTAGGCATTCTCTACCAGTCAACCGGAGAATTTTAGCAAAAATCTTAAGGTAGTGCAAAAAGAATTCATCAAATTACTTATTATATTTTTATATCTATGGAAACAAGATAATATATATATATACTACATAAAATAAATATCTATAAAAATACATAAATAATATATATATATATATATAGAATATACATACAAATATACATCATATCAGGAGGATGCGGAGGAGGAATCTAATAAATGATGACGTACGGAGCGTTTAAAAGCCAGTTTGTTCGGAGCATCTTGAATATGAGGAGGCAGTGCGTTCCAGAGTCGTATAGCTTGAAGAGAAAATGAGTTGGAAACAAAACCAGTATGGTGAGAGGGAAAAGCTAGAGTTTGTTTGCTGCTAGACCGAAGATTCAGATTATGGATACTGCCAAGATACCGAAATTTACATTTCAAATATCCAGGAGCACATGGATCATTAATGATTGAATATAGGGTGGAAAGAATTCTGAGATTTCGACGTTGGCGAATTGTTAACCAATTTAACTTCTTCCGAAAGGCAGAAACGTGATCGTATTTACGGAGACAAAAAATAAAACGAATGCAGTTGTTGAGCAATCGATCCAATTTGTTAAGAAGTTCTTGAGATATGTCAGCGTAACACACATCAGCATAATCTATAATGGGCAAAATTACGGATTGAACCAAGAGAATTTTAGAAGATATTGGGAGAAATTTTTTGAATTGATAGAATGACCGAAGTATACCGATCACCTTACAGCTTATAGCGTCTACTTGTGCTATCCAATTGAGAGAATGGTCAATCTGTATACCCAGGTCTACAACTTCAGGAGAAAACTTTATTGGGGTTCCTTCAAAATAGAGAGACGCAACAGAGCTCATGTCCACCTTCGCCAGAAGACGAGCGCTGCCCAGGATAATGGCCTGGCATTTATTGGGATTGACTTTAATACCGAAATTGCGAGACCAGTCCGAAATTCGCTGAAGATCATCATTTATAGACCTAATGGCAACTTCCAGGTCATTCACCCCAATTTGAGCGTAAACTTGTAAGTCGTCTGCGTAGAGATGGTAAGAGTTGCGAAGAATGGAGGTAATGAGATTGATAAAGACTGAAAATAGCAGAGGAGAGAGAATACCGCCTTGTGGGACGCCAGCCGATAAATCGCACCAATCCGATAAATCACCGCCAGCTCGAACTGCTTGCTGACGTCCAAGAAGATAAGATGAAAACCAATCTAGTTCCGGAGACGAGATTCGCAAGTGGGATAGTATAGCAAGGAGAATGTCATGATCAACGGCATTAAAGGCATTAGAGAAATCAATGAGAACCAGAACCGTTAACCGTGACATCTCCATGCCATCACGAACGTCCTCAGTGACTTTTAGTAAGGCAGTTGTGGTGCTATGACCCGGTCGAAAACCAGACTGGTATTGGTTTAGCACGTGATTTTTAGCTATGAAAGCAGATAGTTGACTATGTACAGTAGCCTCCAAGACTTTGGACAAAAATGGCAAAATAGAAATTGGTCTTAAATGACTAGGAGTTGTGGGATTACTTATTTTGGGAAGTGGCAAAATATGAGCCCTGCGCCATGAGTCTGGAAATTCACCTGAGGAAATTGATTTATTAATTATGTATGTGATGATAGGGAGAATACTATCTAATATACTAAGGACCATGTGCCTACTTATACCATCGTACCCAATGGCCTTAGATTTGAGGGACATAATGGTTTTACGAACTTCGGACTCCGTCACTTGAGAAAATTGGAAAATATTTGTAGGTTGATCAATTAGAGAAGAAAGATCTGCGAGAGCATTGGATATATTTCCTAAAGAATGAGAAGAAGTTTCTGAGAAATGTCGGTTGATATCATTGAGAGAAAAAGAGTGAGGAAGAGAAACATTTCTTGACTTAATCAACCCAAGAGACCGAAGAAATTTCCAAATATTTGCAGGAGATGAGCGAAGAATATTTTCATGGAAATAGCGGCGTTTAGCAGCTCTTACCATCTGATTACAGCGGTTCCTCTTGGTCTTGAAACAAACCCAGTTTTCTTCTGTCCTACACTTCTTGAATTTACTAAAAGCTCTGTCACGTCTCTTCATCGCAATGCGGACCAGTGGAGTCATCCACGGTGCAGGAGGTCTTTTAACTCTCACTGTGCGAATTGGTGCATGTTTATTGAAAAATGATAATAAGACTGCATTAAAAGCATTTACCTTTTCTCCAGTTTTTGCTGCAGATAAGACACTGGCCCAATCAATGGTCAATGCATCCCGAGATAACAACTCAGGGTCCAGGCGAGCAAAGTTCCGCATTTTTACTAACTCAGGGACAGGCTTGGGGGACTTTATTTTATAAGAGAGGAACACAAGGTCATGCCGGGAGAAACCAGGAGCCGAGAATTGGCCATGAAGAGAGACAAAATCAGTAGAGGAAACAATAATGTGATCAATCCATGAGTCATTACTTTCGATGTTATGGTGAGTGGCATTAAGAGGCAGAAAAGAGAAATTGTATGACTCAATGGTTGATCGAAGAGAACGAGAAACGAGAGTGTCCTGCAGAAGGTTTGTATTAAAATCCCCCATGATAATGTGATGTGCGTAATCAGCTGCAAGTGTGTCAAAGACAGAAGTAAGAGATGGAATATAATCGGCAGCAGGCGGGCAATATACGACTCCAAGAACAGCTTTGGAACCACTCTCCAAGATCTCCAGAAAAAGATACTCCACGCCATTTGCAAGCTCATCAGAGCAAAGAAAGAATTTTATACGGGATGCCAGTCCGGAGATAGATGGCAACACCACCGCCCCTCCTCAATAGTCTATCGTGACGCACGAGAGCATACCCTGGCAAAGCATAAGTCTTAGAACTATGGCAAGGCTTGAACCAACTTTCAGAAACCAAAACCGCATGAATAGTGCTAGTGGTGAAATTGCTAAGCAGTTCGGTATGGTGACTAGGTATACTCTGTGCATTAATGTGACAAACATTGAAGTTCCTCCTAAAAGTATCAAATACTTTGGAAAGTTTGTTGCCCAACGTATGATCAGCCACTTGCACATCGTCCAAAGAAAGAAACGATGTGTCAGAACTCACACATGATTCAAAATCTGCAACATCCTCAGAATCTGACATAATTTACTATAAAATATAAATACTAATATTGTAAAATATATTAATAATATACTAAGATAAAACTCAAATATTAAATATATATAATAAAACTATAACAAAACAATCACAGCTCTAGAGTATGTGCTCAACCCGCCGGTCAACTGTTACAATATTAATTTAAATAAAAACAAAGAAACACTGCAAAAAAAAAATCATAAAAACAAAACTTCTAAATACACAAACCAAAAACAGACTCACAAACACTTCCTGTTCTGTGGATATAATTTTTATTAACAGTAATCGAGAAGAAGAAAAAAAAAATAAGTATGGCTGTATGAGCTAAGTGTCTTTGACATCATAGTGGTAAAAATAAAAAAAAAATAAAAAAAAATAACAAAAAACACAAATGACAGAACAGAAAGTTGATCTCAGACTTCTAAGTTTTGACTTTACAAACAAAATTTATAATTAAATTACCTTCAGTTCCAGTTAATTAAAAACAATGAGAAATAAACACGCAAAGTTCTCACTTTCGTATGACACGTTTGGATCTTACGTTAGTCGCCTTGATCGCTGCCTCTGTAGTGACCAGCCTCGAGTTAGTGGTCGATTGTGAATCTGCAGTGGGTCTAGAGTCTGCTTCCAAGGCCGCCTTTGTGTGTGATACTGATGTGGTGTTTATCGCGATCAACTTATCCAATTCCTGTCTGTCGTATACACGACACAACTTGCCAGTGGGCTGCTTGATGAGAATAATGCCATCATTTGACCAGACCCTTCGAACACCAAAGTGCTTGCGCGCAGCAACAAACAACTCCTGCCGGCGACGAGTTAGAAACTCTGACACTACTATGGATGAACCTTTAAACTTCGTCTTCTGGGCCCAGACTTCAGATTTAGTAGTCAGTTCAGTGAAGCGTACCAATACAGACCGTGACCGCTCTTGTGATTTTGAACCGAGTCTGTGACAAGCAGAAAAACTAAGCTTGGTGATATTATTCAGCCCCAATTGATTGTGGCAGATGTTAACAATAGTTGAGGGCAGATCCTCATCATCACTCTCTTCCACGCCATTCACAAGAAGTGTCTTTCTACGGTGTCTAGCCTCAATATCATCAATGCTGCGGGTCAAGGCATTAATTTGCTGTCGAAATAATGTCAATATTCCTCCAACCATGTCTTTAAATGCATAGAATTCCGTGCTCAGAACCTTGAGATCTACAGCTGGTGAAGAAGATGTATTTGAGGCCTTCAAATGTTTTTCAAAGCTGGCCATACGCTGCATGAGTGTTTCCTCAATGGTCTTTTGGTTCTCCAAGACAGCTGCAATGCTAGTCATCCTTGATGCAGAAAAAATGAACTCCAGAAATAGTAGCGACGTATAATAGTGCAGTGAAGTGATGTTGATAGCAGTAACTGTTGACCTGACGGGTTGGCACTCTCAAGATTTTTCTACAGGCATGTGATGATATTGCCAACACAATATGTTGTAATTTATGTCAAAAAGTACAGTTTACACACAACTAAATTTAATTAATGTATTTAATAAAATAAATAAAAATATGTTTTACTCAGAAGAGATGTTACGATTTTTGCGCCTACCCGCATCGCCATCGTTTAATCGATTTTATTATACCAACGATAGAGATATATGACTTAAAGGAAAATATTTGGATTCTGACATGTTTTTTTAATTCGATTTTGAATATTTAATACTTCAATATATGTCAGACATTGGATTTGACCTTCTCTGAATTTTATAGCAAATATGTATAAAAGTTTATTTTATTTAAATGTAAAGAAAATTTCAACATAACATTTAATATTTAGATTCTCAGACCTACAGAATATGCATATAAAATTTCAAGAAAATCGGTTGAACCAATTCGGGGAAGTTCAATTACGCACACCGTGACACAAGAATTTTATATATTAGATATTTTCAATAAACAATCTGTTAATAAAAAAATGAATCGCTGAAATACGGTATACTCGCATAATATCCGGGAAACTGCAAAAAATTAGATAATTTTGTTGTATGTGTCATAATTTGGACAAGTTTGTTTTTTTAATATTATTTTACAGCAAATCCACTAGACTCCATTAGAAACATTCTAAAATCATTGAACTGTTTTAATACTGAAATCTCACCGGTTCACAATTTTTTCCTTCGTATACTGCCCCTGTGCGGATTTTTTTAAATACGTAATTCTTGCCATATGAATCCTTTTCATTAGTTTTTATCGTCACAAACTCCAATCCCATTATTAATAAACCAACACTACGCTTCGATTAGTTACTCCATGTTTTGTCTCTGTCTATTGAATGACAAATGACATTTGAGTGACATGAACAAAAGATGGCGTAACTATTCTAAGCTTATTCCTTGTTTATTAATAAGGAGGCAATTGTCGTACAAGCATTCTAATCCAGACAAAAATTAAGACCAATATGCTTTTGTTTATATGACAAACAAGGAAGGCCAAGTTTAATAATTATAGTCGCGTCAATAAAGGTTTTTGGTATATATTTTTTCGCAATTGAGTTAGGGTAGCGGGTAGCTACACACATAAGCGGGTCGGCATTAATTGTTAAAATCGAATAAATGTAGATGAATGTCCGGCAGGAATTACCACGGGTCGGCTTTGCTGTTCGAAAAATACTGCCGGACGAACCGACTATGTGTGTAGCTACCCTTACTGAACCGATTATTATATAAATAAGAATTTTTAATTCAGGAGATACTATTCAGGAGCTCGATGGCGCAAGTGATTAGCGTGTTCTGTCTACGATCGTGGATGTTAAGAAACTTTCGCAGTGGCCGTTCATCGGATGGGTGACCAAAAATGTATTATACCGAACTCCTCCGTCCTTTGGAGGGCACTTCAAGCCGTTGACCCAGTCTGCATCTGCAGTTGTTCTGTTCCCAGCAATAGGGGCATTAATAGGCTGTTGGGATGATGATGATTATGAGGTGGTTGTTTGACTTACCAACAACGCTTCTGACGAAGGCTGTTCTGGTGTTATTCTTGGAGACCATTTTGGAGTACTTGGAGCCGCCTTCGCCCCATCCGCCCACCGCGACCATGAATTTGACGTTGGGGTGGCAAGACCGCAACGCTGTGAAATTCTTGAAACCACACTTGTTGACATCCAACTGAAAAGAACATTTATGCAATTAATTTTATTTTGTAAGACCAACAGATGCTATCAGTTCTTTTTGTTTGCATGATTTAACTTAAGAAGGAGATAGAAAGCCTCTGTGAGTTTGTTTCGCCGGTTCTTCTCATTAAGGTCTCGCAATTTTGGAACCGGTGGTGGTAGTTTACGGTAGTTAGGTTCAATTAAATAAATAAACTCAAAATTATGAAAAAAAAGTACTTTATAAATTGAATTAACTACTAAATTCATGCATTGACAATAAAGGTTTAAAAATCTTCCAATGAAATATCCGAACACTAAATAAAAGTCTTTCGAGGGTAGCTCGACAAAGTAAATAAAAAATCATTATTCTGAGGACGCATTTCTGCTAAAGCTGCGAAACGTCAATAAATAAATGAAATCAGTGCATCTAACCCGTTGAAACTTGTTTTATTGAATGAGTGATATGCGTGAAAACCTAAGAAAAAAAAAAACTTTAATTGTGCCGTCTTGTTTTCTTGTTTAGACGACAATAGGCCCCATTATGCCATGCTTCTCAAATCTTAAATCTAAATTTGAAAACATTTTCATTCTTAATAGAGTATGACAAGGATATACTGCTTATGTATTCCGTAAGATGCAATCTCATTTATTCGGATTTCTGACAAAATTAAATGTCAAATATCTAAAACTGGCTACTTTTACAGACATACCGACATTTTGCCGTGTAATGGCGTAATGCATTTCAAACTAAAGTCTATAGTGGTAGCTATGTACTGAAATTAGAAGTGACTATTTTTTACAGAATCGCCTTAGTGTTTTCAAATTTTAAGAGAATTGTGCCAGAATCGATCCCAATGTACTTTTTTACAAGGTGCTCGGTATATTGCTATCATGATAAATTATATTGGTAAATCTCTATAAATAGCTTCTACACTTTTTATGTCTAAAGCAAATCATCAGATTGTTTCCAACTACTTTATTCATAAGATATGAAGCCCAATAAAAAAATCAACTTTAATACGAGATTGGCATAACTGAAAAAGGACGTATATTTTATCCGCAACAAAAATAGCCAATTCGGGACCACCAGCTTCGGTGCCAAATGCCGCCTCAAAAATGAATGAATTACAAAGGAGGCTTTCGGGACCGCGGTCCCGGTCCCATATGACCACCGACCCGCCATTTTCAACCTTGATCTTCATTTAATAAAAGCTCAGATTCTATACCTCTTGGTCGAGGATGAGCACCTCGCTGGTGTTCTCAGTGACGCCAATGAACGAGTAGATGATGTGGGTGCACAGGTCCACCGGAATGTCCTCGATGCCGTACCTGCCCACGCCGGGCCTGTACACAGCCCAGTTGGTGAAGTAGCATACTGTGCGCGCTTTGCTGTTCGCTGCGAAAGGAATGCGTTCAATTAGGCCCGATTTACACTACAATCAGTGTTGCCAGGTCCGATTTTTAAAAATCGGGAGGCGTTATAGAAAAAAGCTGTAGATGTACAAAAAGACCTACAAGAAAAAAAGAAAAAACAGTAAATGCAGAGGCGTACTTTGTTTGTTTTTGTAGATTTGCTACCACTTCTGCCGCCCCACAAAGCACGTTTTTTTTTAGGCAATAACATTTATTTGTATAATAATTAAGGTTACCTACATTATTAATGGCGGAAAATGCATCTCAACACATGCAATTTAAAATAGCAAATCGTATTATAAGAAAAACAGTAGATTCATGTAGAAAAACAGTAGAACAGGAGAAATTTCAGAAAAACAAGAGATCTCCTGTGAAATCGGGAGACCTGGCTTCTCTGACTATAATAAGTACAGCATAGGTAAAATGCAATATCACTTACTATCTCATTTATTCGGAAATCTGACAATTGTTAAATATCTAATACGGGCATAGCGGCATTTTGCTAATGCATATCAAAGTAATGTCGAAAATGGCAGCTACCGAAATCGGAAGTGAGATTTTATTTTACAGAATCGAGTAGCGAGTTAACTTGCGATATCGATGAGTTAACGTTTAAGAGAGACTAGCAGGTTTCCCGCTCGAATTGGAGCGCCCGTTTGGCAAAGTAACCTCCGCCTAACAGAAGTGTTGTGTTTCTGGCGGAGAGTAAGGTTTCAGGACTTCACGGGGTAGGGGGACAATACGCTTGTTTGCTATCCTTTTAACATAAATAATAAAATAAAAAAGAGTGAATAAAAGCTCTTTAAGCGCTGGCATGGCTGGAGGAGCTCGAAGGCGCAAGTAATTAGCGCGTTCGGCTGCGATCGTTGAAGTTAAGCAACTTTCGCAGTGGTCGGTCAAAGGATGGGTGACCAAAAATCTTCTATCTCGAGTTCCTCCGTGCTTCGGAAGGCACGTTAAGCCGTTGGTGTCGGCTGCATCTGCAGTCGTTAGCACCCGCCGATCCGCACTGGGCCCGCATGGTGGGTCATGGCCCAATCTCCCTATTCCATCCATAGGGAAAGCCTGTTCCCCAGCAATGGGGATATTAATAGGCTGATTATGATGATGATGTAGCGCTGGCATTGCATTTGTGATACTTTTGGTGTTGTCTATTGTGTCTATTGGCTACGGTGATCACTTACCATCAGGTGAGCCGTCTGCTCGCATGTCCTTTATAAAATAATACACTGGACAGCTAAGACATCGGGTCACTTGCTACCTCAGAACTCTGATTTGATTTTCTCAAAAAGTATAAAAATTACAACTATCAAAGTTACACTTACAGAAAGTGCATTTCATGATGAAATGAACAGGAATTTATTAAGAATAAGTAATCAATTTATTAAGTTTTTTTTAAGTATTTTCTTTAAAAGAGTTGTTTTCCAATTGTGTTAATCGGCAGTAAAACGTACCAGAAAAACAAACTTATTTAGTTTTTGTCCATAGTTTTCCCGGACGGAAAACTATGGACAAAAACTAAATAAATGATAAGAAGTATCAGACTATCTCCATTTTGTAAAAAATAACGTTAATTGCAACTTTATACAAATATTTGCAAATCGTAAGAATTGTGTTTTTTGCTTGATTACACAGTAAGTTCACAATACTTTAGCATTAAATTTGACTTATTTTAATGATCATGAAACGCACTTTCTGCAGGTAAAACTTTTATAGTTGCAAGTTTTATACTTTTTGAGAAAATCGAATCAGAGTCCCAAATTATTAAAACCAGTAAAACCGTTTCCCACATCTCCTTAAAAAGTCTCCTGCCACACATACTGATCTCAAATCGTCCGTAAATAAATAATTGACAGGCGATTTGAGATCGGAAAAATATTTACATTATTTTAATGTGACCTCTTTTCTTGAAATCAGAACAAGATTTTAGCGCTGGAGTTACGTGCCGCGACCTTTACGCCCTAAGAAATGTACTGCTCTTTAGTACACTTCTGGACACATGTATTGGCCCACCTTAGAGTTTAGGTTTCAGAAATCAGAAATCAGAAATCAATATATCTTTATTCAAATTGGATGTATAGTACAACACTTTTGAATCGTCCAAACATTTTTTTCCCTACCACTCGTTATTGGACATATTTTTTAGTTGCGGAGAAAAACGAGCGAAAAAAACTCCACAACATTAAAAGCATAATGTAACAACATTTACAAATCATTATGTTGTTACAACGTCAATACAATCATGATTTATTTAATATAGAAAACCTATTGGAATGATTGGAACAGTTCAAACCCAAGCATTTTTGTCTGTAATATAATCAGACACTTTGTAATAAGCTTTTTTAATAAGTGCTTTTTTTATACTATCTTTGAATTTATTTATGCTTAACTCTTGGATATTGCTTGGGACTTTATTGTATAAGCGAACACAAAGACCTTTAAATGAATTATTGATTTTGTGAAGCCTAGTAGCAGGTAAAGTTAGTTTATTTTTGTTTCTTGTATTAAGTGTGTGAACATCACTGTTTTTAAGAAACAAATTAATATTTTTTCTTACAAGTAATAAATTTTCGTAAATGTATTGTGATGCGACCGTCATTATACCAAATTCTTTAAACCTATCTCTTAAGGAATCCTTAACTTTAAGATTATAAATTGATCGAATAGCGCTCTTCTGCAGCACAAAAATAGTTTGAATGTCGGCGGCGTTTCCCCACAATAAAATTCCGTACGACATTACACTATGGAAATAACTAAAGTATACTAATCTGGCCGTATCTACATCCGTTAACTGGCGTATCTTCATTACGGCATACGCTGCAGAACTAAGTCTATTTGACAATTTATCAATATGTGGGCCCCATTGAAGCTTAGAATCTAAAGTAATCCCTAAGAATACTGTGGTGTCTACAAGGCCCATATTCCTATCCTTTACATTCACACTGGTTTTTACCTGTTTTACATTAGGTAATACAAATTTAATACATTTCGTTTTTCCTTCATTTAGTAATAAATTATTAACATTAAACCAGTGAACTACCTTAGAGATACAACTGTTCACGTCGTCAATAACTGTTTCCTTACGTTTGAGTTTAAATAAAAGTGATGTATCATCCGCGAACAATACTATCTCATGCTTATCTCTAACGTAGTAAGGTAAGTCATTAATATAAATTAAAAATAAGAAAGGACCAAGGGTTGAGCCCTGCGGAACACCCATTTTAACCGGCGAACCCGCAGAAATCTTGCCGTTAATGTCAACCCTCTGAATCCTATCCATCAGGTATGACGCAATAAGATCCAGATCAGTATCTCTAAATCCATAGTGGTGGAGTTTCCTGAGTAATGTTTCATGAAAAACGCAATCAAAAGCCTTGGACAAGTCGCAAAACACACCTAGAGTGTCCTGCGAGTTCTCCCAGGCGTCAAAAATTTGTTGTATAAGTTCAACACCGGCATCGGTTGTTGAACGACCCCGTGTAAAACCAAATTGTTTACAGTGAAGTATATTATATTTATTAAAATGTGATTGCATTTGATCTAACATGATTTTTTCGAAAATTTTACTAAAAGTGGGTAGCACAGAAATTGGTCTAAAGTTTGTGGGGTCTGATGTACTTCCCGTTTTATGCAAAGGAGTTATTTTACTGTATTTCATGAGGTCAGGAAAAACACCACAGTCAACACAATCATTAAATATGCAAGCTAGAATAGGAGCTATTGTCTCAATTACCGATTTAGAAACATCAACGGAATTGCCCCACAGATCCGTGGTTTTCTTTTTATTTAATTGGTGAAACGTTTTAATTACATCTTTGTAGTCAACATGTTTAAAATGAAAATGACTAGTACAAGGTTTCACGTTTTCTCTTAAGATTGATTCGGCAGCAATGGGAGAAGAGTTCAAAGTTTTAGCAGTTGAAACTGGAATATCAGTAAAGAAATTTTCGAAAGCTGTAGCAACTTCAATATCTGAAGTAACCCTTTTATTATCAATATTTAAGTTATAATTATTATTGCGAGTTTTGGATTTTCCAGTTTCATCGTTTATAATATTCCATGTCGTTTTAATTTTGTCATTACTGTTCTTAATCTTTGAACTTAAGTAATTTGACTTTGCTAAGCGGCATACTTTTTTAAACAATTTAGAATAGTTACGAACATGCTCTTTAAATTTTTCACTAGTGTTACAGTTTCTTTCATTATAAAGTTCATAAAGTGTCCTTCTACTTTTATGAATTCCAGGCGTAGCCCACTTAGTAAAAGTTACCGCATCATTAACACAGATTTTTTTTGGGTACAAAAACATTATTAAATTCAGTGCAGTATATATTAAAAAAATCATTATATAAATCATTTGGACTGTCTTTATATTTTAGATAACACATTTTTCTATCTAATTGAGTTTTAAAACGTTCCACACGATTAGCAGATTTTGGTACAACAGTGATGTGTTTTTTTGTCACCTGCTTGAGCTGATATGGAAATGTAATCAACTGGCCACAATGATCACTATCTAGTTTATTAATAATTTGTTTTTTTCTGTGGTATGATATCTGTATATATATATTATCAATACAAGTGACCGAAGTGGCAGCTATTCTAGTAGGCTCAATGAATAAGTTTTTCAGATTGTATGATTGAAATAAATTTTTTATTTTAGTACTCGAACTAGATTTTTGTAATAAATCAATATTGAAGTCACCACAGACAATCAACCGTTTGCCTGTAGTATAAGTTTTCTTAAGAGCTTCATCCATGATAGCTTCAAAACAATCATACAATGCTGATGGAGGTCTGTATACGCTCAATACAACAAGCCGGTCCAGTTCCACACAGGCAATTTCTATTGTTCGCTCAACCGAGAGGCTCACAATATCTCTTCGTTCCTTAAATTTTAATTTTTTATTCAATAATATTAAAGAGCCACCGCGAATTGCATTTTCTCGATTGAACAAACTACCAACCTGATGATTATTGAAATTAAATATATTCTGACAACTTTTAAGCCAGTGTTCTGTAATACAAAAAATATCTATATTATTACAATTCATGAATAATTAAATTTCTAAGTCCTTACCCATCATTCCTTGAATATTAAGATGCACCAGGTTGATAAAACTTACATTTTTTGCAATGTTTTTGGATGGGTTTTTGGTTTTAGAGCACAATTTCTTTAGATTTATAATTTTTAATGAATAAAATTAAAGGGACAGTTCAAAATCAGCTGTTTAGCCAGTGTTGCCAGAGGAGGAAAAACGATTTCGATGGCCCCTACCGAAATGTGATTGCTAGATTGAACAAAAACTGTTGATGCAGTTTTAAACCTGATACATTTTACCATCTTTTTCGATCGTATTGTTATAAATTTGAATTCAGAATACCATACGACATGGAACTACGCCTAACAAGTCGGATATGCGCCTTGTTAAAGGCAATTGATTTTTGAATAAAGAACATGTTTTATCAAATAAAGGTTTAATTTAATAACGCGTGTTGCCTCCATGGGCATCTACCACAGCTCTCATACGATTAGGCATAGAGTTTATCAACCGCTCTATGAAATTTTGAGGGATCATCTCCCATTCCTCTTCTATGGCAGTTTTCAACTCCTGCATCGTCTGGGCAACTGGCTGACAAGCCCTAACACGTCTTTTTAGCTCGTCCCACATGTGCTCAATGGGGTTCATGTCTGGGCTTCTGGCTGGCCAGTCCATAACTGTGATGTTCACATCCCGAAGATATTCCCTGACGATGCCGGTCGCTTGGGTTCTTGCATTATCATGCATAAAAAGGAAATTTGGGCCCACATAGTCCGCGTATGGAATCACGTGAGGTTCTAAGCACTCACGAATGTACCTTTCAGCATTTAATGTTGGCAGCCGTGATCCTGTAACAACCTCAAGTTGAGTTTTGCCGCTCGCGGATATACCGCCCCAGACAGTCCATGAGCCACCGCCATAAGCAACCCTCTCTTCAAAGCAGCATTGTGCGAAACGCTCTCCCTTACGTCGGTAGACCTTCTTCCTTCCATCATTGCCATGTAACACAATTTTAGACTCATCAGAAAAGAGTACACGGCTCCAATCTTGCTGTGTCCAATTTAAATGACTGCGTGCGAAATGAAGGCGCGCTGTTCAGTGGGCTCGCGTTAGTTTGGGCCCATTAGCTGGCTTGTGTGGTACCATATCGCGTTCTTTGAACCTTCTCCGAACAGTTCGAGCGCTCACAGATACTCCGTGGAAGTCGCGAATTTGTTTTTGTATCTCAATGGAGGTAAGGTGACAATTTCTCAAGCTGGTCGTCACGATAAATCAATCGATCCTGCCTTTCAGTTGTGACCCGAGATCGTGGCCTTCCTTGGCGACGAACAAAGCCGCCAGTCCCTAGGTACCTCCGATAAACATTTCGGACCGCAGATCGACTTAAATTAAGTTGAGCACTCACGTTTCTTAGGCTGTGTCCGGCCTGAATAAGTGCCACAGCTTGGGCGGCGACTTCAGGAGAAGTATCCATAGATTATTGATAGAACCTCACCTTAATGTTAAGAATAAGTAATGTTTGTTGCAAAACCAAAGATATCAATCACTTTTTCAAGAATTAAATCCAAGTAAACCAATAAAACCAAGTTTTCTTAGTATTCGATTGTTTGATATCAACAAACAGGCTCCAAATTGTCTTTTGTTTCTTTAAATTCTGTGTTCGAAATTCAAAAAAAGACTATTGAATGAAATTGTGAATTTGCCAGGTTCAAAACTGCATAAAAACTTTTTGCTCGACCTAATATAAAATTTTAGCTAGGACCAAAACTGAAAATACAAGGTGGGCCAATAGATGTGTCCAGAAGTGTAGTTACCTTACAGTATTATCATAAAATACTTACATTCGGCGGTAGTCCCGATCACTAGGATAGCCAACGTCGTAAGTAATATGTTCATTTTGTATCTGTAACAATAAATATTAGTTTATTTTAAAATCTGCCGCTCCTAACCAATAACGATTTGCTCTCCCCCCTCCCCCCCCCCCCTAATTAAATTACTATAATTAGTAAATTAAATATAAGGCAGTAACCAATGCCTTGGTTCTCTTGGCCCTAGGTTCAATACGCCCCTGAAGACCACGGTTGCAGAAAAGAGTTCAAAGAAAGAATTAATACAGGTAACTTCGACATATCACCTTTTGTTGTATTTTAAGTTAAGATAGGTACTGTAACGCCCCTAGCATTACGGCCTCCTAGCTTGTGTAAGTCCGGCGGCGCCTCCACCATTTAAGGCTCTATCCTGAATGGGATAGGCCTGGGAGCGTAGCTAGTAGAATGTAGCAATAGGGATGATGACTAATTTTTTTTCTTCGTTTATCAGGTAGATTATCAAAAAGTATTGGACACGTATTTTTTCTTTTTTCACATAATATAAATATTGCAGAGATATATTGATTTGAAAAGTCGCATGACGTCACGTTTTGGTACACTTTTAAGTGAAAATTCACTCAAAACTGACGTCACGAGTCCCTACTCCCAAACTTTGACGCGCTATATCTTTGTCATTTTTTGGTTGATTGCCCAAAGAATAATACGTGTCCATTATTTTTTGATCATCTAACTGACGGACTAAATAGAATTTCGTTTCCTGTACCTCGACATCACCCCTATTATTACAATAACAACACTTGGGATTCTCAACTTCTTTTATTTTATACTGAGAGAATAACATGGAAATGTCCTATGCACCGAATGTTTTGTGCCTGAATTCTATCTCTGGAATGTTCGATAAGAGACAAAAGATCCTCATATTCAAATCTTGAAAATAATGACATTTACTTTTTAGTATAACTGCCAGCCATAGTCATTACATGGGCAAAGAGTTTACACAAGCAAGGAGGCCGTAACGCTACGGGCGTTACAGTACCTAGTGATTGCCATTTTTATGAGAGACAAGAAATAAAAAAAATAGCATTGCACTACATATTTATAATGCGAATCGTATAACAAGGAACTTCTCGCATCGGGTACAATCGACGCGAAATTTATTCGGATCATTTCCAACTTTTTACCCGGCGCGCCTCCACCAGCGGGTGACAGATGAGAATGTAAAATTGTATCCGACATCTTGCAATCGACTGTACCCACCTGCAGCCATTGTTACCGGAACTCATGTTGTTGTTTTATTTTCAATTATTTACGTGAGTGCAATGAAATTATGACACCTTGTTGGAAACATCTCCTATTTCATCTTGGTATGAATGTTGATGTGAAAGCTAAATCTTATATATAATTCTCGTGTCACAATAAACGGCTTGACCGATTTTTATGAAATTTCTTATGCATATTCAGTAGGTCTGAGAATCGAGTACTATCAATTTTTCATACCCCTTAGAGATAAGGGTTGTCCACCTTTTTATTCTTTGGTCAAATTCGTTTTTTGATTTCTTTTTGGTTCGTCATTAGAAAACACCAACAACCCTAAATTTTCACCCTGCTACCACCAGCCCCTATTTTTATGGCGGTACGAAGTTCGCTGGGTCAGCTTGTTTTTCATAAAAATGATCAAAATTTCACTCAAGTTGAAAACATAAGCCGAGAACGTTGTTAAATGTTCTAATTTCGGTATTTAAAACGCGTGTTAAAGAGCTCTTAAATTGCCTGAACCTTTATCCTGTGTATACGTGAGTAATAAATATTAGAATATATTTATATGTGTCGCCGCACACGGGCCACACGCCACAGCCACAAACACCGCCACGAGAAGGTAGAGGTAGAAGCGGCTACTAAAGTGGCTGAAGCGCGCGACAGCGGCCGACTAAGGTAAGGGAGAGAGGGGTAAGGCATCGCGCGAGTGACGTGTGGCGGCGTTTTGTATCGGCGCATTAAGTGACCGATGCGGGCCACAAGAAGCGAGAAACGACGATTTGTAGCGTGTGGCGGTCACCTGTGTACCGTGTGTGGCGAGTCCATATAAAATGTATGAAAGCTACAAGAAATATGCCGGTGGCGGCGTTTTGTGGTTGTGGTCGGTGGCCCGTGTGCGGCGACACTAAGAGATGTAGGTAGGGTTACCATCCGTCTTGATTAGTCCGGAAATGTGTGGACTATTAGACTATTGTTATTAGCTTTTTTCCTATTCGCAAGAAAATAATAATAAATTACCGACCAATGAACACTTCCTATCAAACTAGTGAAATGTGAAGTCAGTTTCTAGTTTTGCTAAACATAAATATCGAGGTTGATAAACTGATTTTCCCCTTTGCGCCAAATAAGGTTGATTATTGGTTTGTTTTGTTTTTTGAAAGAAAAAAATCAAGCACTAAAAGGTTATAAAGTTTTAACTGCATAATAATATTCTTAAATTTAAAAGAGACAAAAATAACAAAGCAAAAATTTTTGAAAACTCACATACACTTTTATCAATGAAGCATCAATAAACACTCCTCATCAAACTCAAGAAAAAAAACACTTGTTTTCTAAATTCAAAATAAAAAAAAACACAATATCAGAGGAAAAAAAAATAAACATTTGACACTTCATCGAACACCATGCGTGTATAAGTGCGCAAAAAAAAAATGATAATTGTTAAAAGCCCTTCTACATTTTTTGCAAAAAATCGTAATTTTTGAGCGCCTCGTTTTGAATGGATTTTGACTATGTCCAATAGATAGTTTAGATTTATTCTTCCTATTGTAAGTTAATGTAGAATATTTGCAAATACTCTTTTCCTTTTTTTGTAGTGATCGTTCTACTGCAGCTAGTTTACGGAAAAAATGATAATATGCACAACTTCAAACGCCTCAATCTCTCAATAATGTCCAATAAAATAGATCAAATTATTTACTACAACATCAGAAATATATTTTTGTTGTAACATAATGTATTAAAATTTTGATTTTCCATCCCATTCATTACGTAATTGAGGGTTACTTTAGCTCGGGCGGGTAACTTTGTTCCAAATTAGAAAAAAGTTTGAACTTGCCGCCACATCAGTATCTCTAGGGTGAGCGTAATAGTTCCAGTTGAAAATCACAGTTGGCCATATAGGCGCATAGTGTGGTGTTGTTTTACCGACGTCATTCCTGTATCAACCTGTCATTGTTACGCGGGAATTTTTGTAACTGAAATAGTTCGCAAGTTCATGCGTAAACTTTCTCGTAAAACTGTGGTTTTCGGTAAGTTACTATTTTTTCTATATTTAAACTTATTGAACATGTTTCATGGGAGTACGTTGATGATAAATTCAAAAGGTTTAACACAAATTTACTTGTTTATTTTTAGGATAAACCAAAATCTACGGAGGTATACTTTAGCCCATGTTTTTGGGTAACTTTGTCTTTTAGGCCAAAGTTACCCGTCAACCTTACATTTAGAAATAATACAATAAAACTATACCTACTAAACACAAACAAATATAGCGCATATAAGTAATCTCAAGACGCCCTTAACTACCTCAATCTACTACTTACATGTATTTTAAATTAGCTAACATCTTTTAACGCTACTTTATAATTTACTCGTACGTTGTAGATTTTATAGGTTCTTGTTTTCTAAATTTCGAGAATTACACATGCATCTACAAGTTTCGTGTGTACTGAAAAAAAAGTTGTTAAGAAAATAAAACTTTATGTTGTTACTGGCAAGTTCATCTGCGTTGTTGATCTGATAGAAGCAGGGCCATCCAGTTTGCAATATAATAAAACGAAAAACAGACGAAAAAGCAACCAAATCATACCCTATATTCATCAACAAGCGGCAGTGATATAACAAGTGGCACTGAAGAAAAATAATTGTTATGTTATAATTTTATTATGTTACTACTAAGTTCCTGTAGTTGAGTCAATTTAATTAGTTACCAAAGTATAAATATTTTATGTAGCTTTACTTAAGAAATTCAGAATTTGTCAATATTTCGTTTCACGTTTGATTAATAAAAATCTATTCGTTTTTTTTGTTTTTTATTATTTAACTAAATTATTTTTGGGAAAAAACATCCATTTATGTATTAAGTATGCTAATGGTGACCTGTTATAATGGTTACTTAACCCCAACATGGCTTAAAATGTATTTTTTTCGCAGAGAAAACTCAAAGAGCTAAAGTAACCCTCATCTAAGGCTAACTTTAGCCCAAAATTGAAAAAAAATATATTAACCCTTAAACATTATTTTTCCTATTTTCGTATGTTAACTTTGTAACTTATACCTTAAAGTTCACAATGGAAAGATATAAACGTGACATATTCATCATAAAGTGAAGCTACAGTTTGATTTGAAAAAAACGTACATATTTTAGATCAAAGTAACCTGCAGTTACTCGGTATCAAAAAAAACATCTAACCTCCGTGAGTTTTCCCAAAAAATAATACAGTTTTACCTTGTATTTTGATATTGAATTAAATAGAATTACTATCAACAACTTTCATAAAACTAATCTACCATCATTAATTTACTGAAATACGTAGATATTTTGATAATTAGTTCATTAATAATTATTTTATAAGACTCAAAAAATCACCCGTAAAATGCAAATACTAGTGCAAATCTACCTACGCGCCGATCAGTACGGCAGCGGCGCAATTTTGTAAAAAGGCTCTTAAGCTTATTTATTACTTACGTCAACGAGCGGCGTGCAAGTTTGCGTGCGATTGGTTCGGAGCGTGGCTGCATCGCGGTTTTATGCGCGCTCGCGTAGTCTCGCGCGCACATACACAGGGTGCACCAAAAACGACGCGCACTTTTCCTGTTACCGTATCGTGTTCAGCGTTGTGGGATTCGAAATGAGCGGGGTGAGATCTCTCTTTAAAAAATTACCCTATTGGATTTCGGCTGGCGTCTTGGAAATCCCGGGTAGCGGCAGTCACGACATTGTGGTAGGAGCGGCAACTCCCGTTGTGGTGGTGTGTCCGTTTGCGGGTTGTGATGCGATTTTCGTGTCACTTCGCACATGGTGCAGGGCTGGGGGCCGGTAGCAGGGTAATACTTATGATAGTAAAAACTTACTGAACACGTATTGACGGCGTACTGTGACGCAGAGTGGTGTCCGGTATCCGGCCTCGGAACCGCTGGAACACAACTCCTTTCGACCAAAGCTCTTCTTTCATAAAATTCGCTAGGTGTTCGGTTCGTACTCTCACCATGAATGAATTAAAATTCATATTATGGCGAGATTCCAACCGTGCGACTCTCAGGGAGAACTTCGTCTTGATCCGCAGATACTCTACGATCTCCTCTTCCTTCGTAGAGTAATGCAGTCGGGACACCTACAGCGGCGTCTTTGGTATGGCGGGATGCATCAGATGGTTCGGTCCGGTCGGGGCAGCACCACACAGGTTGCGGCGAGCGGGCTTCCTCTTCTTCCTTTCCACCTTGGTGAAGCCTTCTTCGTCACAATTTAGATTTTGAGATGCCGCCGGATAGCACGTTTGTGTTTGCAACTCTTCTCCGTTTGTTGTAATATTCTGTCTGGTTTCGGAGCGCCATCAGCAGGCCGAATTGCGGCTGCAGCTGCGTAGGCACGTTGCGGTGTCGAAGTGCAAGCGCGTGACGTCTCCCGTATGGCGGAGGGGCGGGCGACGGCAGCGGGACGCGGGGCATTGCGCGCGGTAAAGGTAGAATTATTTTACTGTCGTCTTCTGTAAAGTGAAGGCACTTCCATAAAAGACGGCGCTGAAATTTGAGCGGCAATATGAAATCCGCTTTTCGCTATCCCTCTTAACTTAAAGGAATGCTTAAAGATTAGTATATGATGTTTTGAAAAGACACGAAGGCCTGCAGCTATGTGTAAATGTATTATATCTTTTACCGCATTTTGTATTAAAAGTTGAAAATATTTTAGGGGAAGAGGCAGTCCTCTCGTTACGGCTGCTTGTTTTTTTATGATGAGAGTAAACGAATTATTCGTGATAACACCGGGAGACACGCAGATTATGTTTGACGATAGAAACAGTTCCATGAAGTTAGTATAGCTAACTTCATGGAACTGTTTCTATCATTATGTTGAAAAAACTGGTATCGCGGATAAACTTTGGGTGCTGGTTAGGAAATGAAATCTTTTTTCGTGTAATATAATTTTTAGTTATTGAAAAAAATACTCTTTGCGCTTTGTACTGTGTAGTTTCTATTTTTAAATTATTGTTTTTTTTTGAAAAAAAATCGAAGATACGATGTAATTGTCTATTCCACTAATATTATAAATGTGCGAGTTTGTATGTTTGTTACTCAATCTTGCAAAAACTAATACACGAATTTTGATGAAATTTGATACGTGCATATAGTTTATTATCTGGATTGAGACATAGGATACTTTTATCCCTGAAAAATGATAGGTTCCTGTGGGATTCTCAAGAAACAAAATTTAACTGCTGCACGAAAAAAAATAAAAAAAGGTTCGAGTGACCTAATTTTTTATGTGATGATCGCAGATGACCTTTACAGCATCACCGGGTTTGGAGTCGGCGAGGTCCTAAAGGTACGAAAAGCCGTGAGTACCTCTAGAGGTATTCCAGGCTGATGGCATCTCCCCTTGGGGGGAGTCTCCTCTCCGCCTAAAGCACCTAGACCACTAGATCCTGACGGGAGTCGGCTCTACTAAAGGGCGTCTCTGAGACTCGGAATTCGGCTCTAGTTAGCTGTTGCAGCTAAAGAAGTCTGAGTTTAATATTTTTTAATGATCTACATTAAAATTAAGTAGATACCATAATATAAATTCACCTAAATCGGCATAAGCCTGGAAGCGAGACAAACAAATGGACAGAGGTACTTTCTCATGCATTTATAATATTAAACGGATATTGATGTAGAAATATATTTGAAGGGAAAATAAATAGAATCCTCTGACTCATACCTCACATATTATCAAACAACGTAGTTGCGGTCTCTTTGTCTCTTTATATGTGCGTTTGTTTTTTAAGGAAAAGAATAATCATATAATTTTTAATAAGAGGGTTAAGGTATAATATATAATAAGTGGGTTAAGGTATAATATATAATAAGAGGGTTAAGGTATAATATATAATTTTCAAAATCTCTGAGTATCGGGAAACTTCACCATGTGGGAGAGTTAAAACATCTTTAATTCAATTGTAACTGTATTCAAGTTTAGTGCAAACAAAAAGTCAATTCGTTAATTAGTCACATGCGAGAAGCAAATCACAAGAAAAGAGTTTCACTTGTGACCAATTAACAAATTGACGTTTTGTTTGCGCTAAACTCAAACATAATTTGCTCAGGTGGTTCAACTCAACTCAACTGACCCACCTGAGCAAATCTCTACAGACTATTGTGCTATGGCGGATGCTTGTTGGCAAGGGCGTCACCAGCTTATGACTAGGAGGGTGCAATGGCGCAATATAATAGGTAAGGAAGTTAATTGCTCGCACTTTGGTCGCTTTGCGACTAGCTACATTTGATCTCTAGGGGGCGACAGCCCCCCCCCCCCCCCGCTTGCCGTCGCCCATGCTTGTTGGTCATTCCCTTTTTACTCTACAAACATACCAGACAACTCATTCAGTCTGCCTCATTGTGTCGCGCTATTTAAAAATAATTTTGCCCGATCCTGTGTTCTTCCATCCATTGCACAACCTGAAATCCTTTAAAAGCTACACGAAAGGTTACTAAGGAGCAGCAATTAGAAATGTTGTAAAATCGGGAAAAATATTCCATTTGTGAGCTTTCGTTGCGTGCGCTGCGTAAAAATTAAAAGTTACCTCAAAATTATGTATGACAGAATTGTTCCTTAATAAAATTGGATGGATGGAAGTTGACCTCAACACATGTTTGCAAGTTTGATGTCCACTTTCAATTTGACGACACTGTATGAAATAAAACAGGGGGAAAGAAGCAGCCCTTGCTGAGTTTCTTGCCGGTTCTTCTCAGTACAAGGTCTCCCGCTGTAGTTTTGCGAACCGATGGCGTAGTTTTCGACTTTCACATGTTATTGTAAAAGCCTAAACTAAATTAAAAATTTTTTAGTTGAATTGAATTGAAAAGATATGTCTATCTTTTAAGGGTGACCCACTATAACCTGTTTTTCCTACATCCACGCAACCAAGTATAAATACTGCAAAATACTACTAACTTATATTCACTTTACAAGCACACTATTCACCATTTTTATTCCAATTTCATGTCCTCCCATTTCATGCATATGGTGAATGGATCATCAGATGGGTTCTTAAAAAGAACTATGAAACTGCTCTGTACTTAATTGCATTGTACAAAGAAACTATGGATTTGAATTTAGATTTTGGGTGCGCGGAATAAATAACACTTAATACATTATTATGTTCTTCTATTGCTCCCAATCCATACTGGCATTCAATAATCACTAATTAATTGTTTCTAATATATACCCACATTATATATTTAGTATCTAAATTAATAACTTCCTGGGGATAATGTACACGTATTTTTTCTTTCATCAATCAACCAAAAAATTACGAAGATAGAGCGCGTCAAAGTTCGGGCGTGATGTCACTTTTAAGTAAAAATTTTACCAATACGATTCCAATATTTTTTTCATAATTTACCTGACCTGATAGATGAAGAAAAAAAGTTAGACGTCATCCTTACAGTCGGTATAATATCGACAAGCAGTGGAGAAGCGAAGCTTTAGAAACTTTACAGAATCGTGGATTAAAGTTTTTTTTTTTACAAAAAAGTCATAGTAAATGAGAAGTAGCGCCATAAAAATAAAAACATTATTCATAAAATAATATTTTCTAAACATCCTCCTATTAAAAAATTACATACTGCCTTTACGAATTAGATGACGTTTAAGCGAAAATCACTCGGCATTTTTTGTCAAGCAAACATCTAATCATATGCCAAATAGTAGGGCGTAAGCGCCATTGGTTCAAAAAATCTTCAAAATTTATGTCAGCGTTTTGAGCAATAAACATCTTCAAAAAATTATTTGCCGAAGCTCCAAAAAAGTACTCAAATCCTCACGAAACATAAACAGGACCCTTAGCAAGAATCAGTATAAAATTCGAATAGAGTGCGAGCGCGAAATGTCACTATCGAAAATATGTATGGAAAACTTGCACAGCAGCGCCACAAAGGACGTAACGAGAACTAAAAATCAGTACACCTTTGACAATGGCATTTCGGACTCGCAAACTATTCGAATTCGATATTGGTTCGTGCTAGGGGTACAGATCGGCGCAGAAAAAAAAACTGATTAAAATGATATTTAAAAGTCATTTTCGACAAAAGTGGCGTATAAGTGAATTTGCCTTTCCTCTGTCGAACCATAATATTATTTAAAACTCTTTGGGCAACCCTTTTAGGTATGTAACAATTCTAATAACAGACATTTATTTAGTAAACCTCAACTATCAATCAATAAATAAAACTACATCCGGAACGTATAAATAATGAATTTCGAAATTTATAAACCCTTTATTAATAAACGAAGTGAGCTTGGAGTAATTACTCCATGTTTGTCTCTGTTCATTAAATGACAAATGGCACAACATGGCTTAACTATTCTAAGCTTATTCCTCATTTATTAAAAGGGGGGTATATATCTCAAGAAACGGTGCCGTGCAGCTCCATCTGTATGTATGTATGTATATATATCGCACGCCACAAAGAATAGGGTATTATGTCGGAAAATTCGTATATTTTTTTATTTGCGTTTCGAAAACTACATTTTTTTCTCTATAAACTGGTAAGACAGTTGTATTTAAATTCTAAATAGTTTTTTAATTATAGCAATACATGTCTTTCTTGACTGTTCATGAACGTCATTTTCGAGACAATCAAGCAGTGGCGGACTAAG